CCATCCATCCATCCATCCATCCATCCATCCATCCATCCATCCATCCATCCATCCATCCATCCATCCATCCATCCATCCATCCATCCATCCATTTTCTTACACGCTTATCCCAAGTGGGGTCGCGAGGGGTGCTGATGCCTATCTCCAGCTGTCTTCGGGTGAGAGGCGGGGTGCACCCGGGACAGGTCACCAGTCCATTGTAGGGCAACACAGAAACAAACAGGACAAACAACCATTCACGCACACACTGACACCTAAGGGGTCTTTAGAGAAGCCAATTAACCTAACAGTCATTGTTTTGGACTCTGGTCGCAAGCCGGAGTACCCGGAGAGAACCCATGCATGCTCAGGCAGAACATGCAAACTCCATGTAGAAAGACCCCAGGCCGGGAATCAAACTCAGAGTCTGGCAGCAGTGCTACACACTGCGCCACTGAGCAGCCATTTATCTGTTGTGCTTGTAGCACCAAACACAAATAATTATATTTTGTTATTTTAAAAACATACATTTCTAAAATGTTATATCAGTGGAGTTTCACAGACTTGACAAAAAGGATTTTCAGAGGAAGGTACTGGTATCTGCTGTGGGCTTTCTTTTATCTGAGGTTTTTATAATATTTATAAAAAATATATTGTTTTTTTAAGATTTTACCATATTGTTCAACAACAGAGGGATGGTGTTAAATCATCCAGCTCTTTGCTTTTCCTCACAGTGACCCACTCTCTGAAGTATTTCTACACGGCATCTTCTGGGATCCCAAACTTCCCTTCTTATGTGTCTGTTGGGTTGGTGGATAATGTTCAGATCAATTACTGTGACAGCAGGACCCAGAAAAACGTTCCTAAACAGGAATGGATGAATGAAGTGAGTTCAGAACATCCACGTTACTGGGAGGAGGAAACTAAGACATGCTGGGAAAAACAACAAATGTTCAATGTCAACATAGACATTGCAAAACAACGATTCAACCAGACTGGAGGTTTGTTCATTATTGATGTTTTACATATCATATATTCTTTAATAATTGCTTTTTTTTTCATTTAATTTAGGTTTTTGCACATATTCGTGTCAACAATTATTGTGCAAATAGTTTTAAGTGGTTGTCAACAGTTTTCATCATTAACACAAGTGTATCAAATCTACACATGGGGGGTTGGAGGTCAAGCTGATGTCCACTTTTTTTAATGATGACCCTTCAGCTCATATTAATGCATATTTTACTGTACTTGAACATTAAAATTAATTTTTCATCATTTTTTTAAAGATATATTTGTTTTAAAAATGTTTGAACATGTTTTAATGTAGCAAGTTTTTCAGTAAGTTTTCAACAATGATTTTACATTAGAAAGTTCAATATATTCACAGATTATTAGTGCCATGCTATGAATAGCATTGGTTATAATCAACAGTTTTTGTTGTTTTGTTCACTTCTTACAATGTGAACGATGCTAACTTTTGTGCCTCTGCAGTTCTTTCTTTCTTTCTCTATTCAGTATAGTCTTTTCCAGAGTCCTTCCATTTATTTTTTTTAATTTATTTAACAGGAACAGTGTACAAAATATATTAATCTGAAAAAGAAGAGATGTCTTATACCAGAGTTTGCTATTGCTGATTTTTGTCATCCCCTGGAAGGTTCAAACATTTAAAAACGCATTACAGAACAAACTACATGTCCTAACATACTAAGAAATACTGTAAATTTAGAATATACTCACAGTCAGTGATAGAGTTCTTTACAGATTAGCTTGACTGATGCTAACAAAGCTCGTGAGCCTGAACATATTA